CAAACAAAACAAAACCCCAAAACAACCCCAAAAGAAACGTCCCCACCTGATGTCAATAATTAATCACACCACGAGGGAACGCCCGACTATGCCGCCCCTCAACAAACAACTGTTTATTTCCAGCGCTTGCTTTTTTTCTGTTTACTTATATTTTTTATTTTTTTTTGCCTTCCAGTTCCGGTTTGGTGGTGGTAATGGTGGTGGAAAGAGGGAGGGAGAGAAGGGGTGTGGGTGGGGGGGCGAGGGAGGAGATAAATTAACCACATTCCTGTGAAAACATAATGAAAGCAATATAAATGCATCATATTCATTCATTCATTCATTCACTCACTCTCTCTCTCACACACACACACACACACACACACACACACACACACACACACACACACACACAAACTGAATACAACGTCCCAGCAGAAAAGTGCCGAACATTAGAGTTAGAGGAGTTACAAGACAAAGAGTAACAAACACAAAAAAAGGAGAATAGAATAGAATAATAAGGACGACAGATGTCTGATAGGAAAGAAGAAGCAAACCACACCAGAGCACCCGCCAATCACCCACCAAACCGCGTTTGATACTACTAGTGAATCACCACGACGAGCGTCGCCTGTCACCCACACCAGCCGGGCTAACCAGTGTTGTGATATAATGGAATCTATGCACATGGCGGCAAGTAGAGGACAGACGTCATGGAAACACACCACGCCAGTCCGTGATGAGTTAAGATGAAAAAAAAAAAAAAAAGAAAAAGACCACAAAAAACCCACCTAACTCATTGAAAATGCAACACTGTATTAACAAGGATGGCTTTTTTAAAATATGTATCTGTTTCTGTTTTAATGAGCGCTTTACGGCACTTGCAACACAATAAGGTCATATAAGAGCCGAACATTAGAGGTGTTACAAGACAGAGAGTAACAAACACAAAAAAGGAGGAGAGAATAAAAAGGACGACAGCAGTTTGATAGGAAAGAAGAAGAAGCAAACCACACCAGAGCACCCGCCAACCGCCCACCAAACCGCGTTTGATACCACTAGTGAATCACCACGACGAGCGTTGCACGTCACCCACACCGGCCGGGCTAACCAGTGGTGCGAAATATATCAAATCTATGCACATGGCGGAAAGCGGAGCACAGACGTCATGGAAACGCACCACGCCAGTCCTTGATGAGTTAAGATGAAGAAGAACACCAAAAAAAAAAACAACCCAACTCATTGAAAATGTAATACGGGGTGCCCACTACGGATGGGATCGGGCCGATCGCCTGACTCGATCGCCTCAAAAACAAAAGGTGTTTGTTTTCAGTATCAGGCGATCGAGTCGGGCAATCGGCCCGATCCAGCCGTAGTGGGCAACCCGTATAACATTGTACTAACAAGCATGTTTTTTGTTGTGTATCCGTACTTGTTTCAATGAGCGTTTTACGAACATTAGAAGTGTTACAAGAAAGTATAGTAACAAACAAAAAGGAAAGAGGAGAGATCAGATGTTACGGACCGGACACGTTTGACAGACAAGGAGCAACCCACACCAACCACCCACTAACAACGAGGGCGTGGGGGGGGGGGGGGGGGGGGGGAGGGGGGAAGACAAACGGAACAAGAACAAACGACAGCCCAAACGGCCGTGAGCAGCCAATCACTTAGGGACCATCATAACATAACGAGGACACAGCGTCGGAGGCCCCGCCATACCACACGTGCAAACACCGCTGGCCCGTGAGCCCTCATGAAATGAGCCTGCTTTATACCGATGTGATATTATTATGATACGTGTGTGCAAAAGAGAGAGAGAGTGAGAGAGAGAGAG